CCCTCCCATCCCTCCCCTCACCCTGACCATTTCCCCCCTCCTCGCTCCCTCCCCTCCCCTCACCCTGACCATTTCCCCCCTGCTCGGGTCATGACCCAACTGTGCAGCGCCTTGGGACGTCCTCCTGACGTGAAAGGCGCTTTATAAATGGAATCTTGTTGTTGTTGTTGTTGTTGTAAATAGGCCATTTAGTCTAAAAAGTCTATGCTGATTTTTTTCTCCACTTGCGCACCCAAATCTAATTTCACTCTCTTGCTTGTTCCACAACACCTTTATTTTTATTTCTCTTATTCAAGCATCTTATCTCATTTTTTTTAGGATAATTTGTGGATTCTGCTTCAGTACTTCTATGCTATGAATCCTATTCTGGTCACTTCTAACAACCAGTTATATTGATTGATTTACCCCAAGTGCGGTCCTTGACATATTAAGTTTGTGATGAGTCAGACATTGTTGAGCTTTCATGTAAAGATCAGTTTGTTCTGATGTGATAAGTCAGAAGTTTCTTGACTTAATGGTAAAGCTGCAGCTCTGACTGCCGGTGGATCTATTGACGCACTTAATGGTCGATTCTCTTGATGATGTATTTCTTTACAAGATAAGAAAATACTGATCAATCAGAACTAACCTGTTTGATAAACTTTTCACGCTGTGCCAGTTTGGTTTTGGCTTACTTGGACTGTATATCTAGCTTTTGGTCGAAAGGTTTTGGTTGAAAGGTTGAGCTCTGAGAGAAGCTCTGGATGAGTGCAAACTTTCTGCAGCTGAACGTGGACAAGACAGAAGCCAAACTCTTTGGCTCCTGTCAACATCTTCACTCCTGCACATTTCAACTCTTTAACCCCGATGGGCTGTCCCTCAGACTCAATGAACTAGTTCGCAATCTAGGCGTCCGGTTGGACCCCCAGCTATCCTTCCTCCCCTTTTTCGGTCATTTGTTCCACCTCCGCCACATTGCCCACCTCTGACCGTACCTTACCACAAATGCAGACGAAACCCTTGTGCATGCATTTGTCACCTCCCAGCTAGATTACTCCAATGCACTCTTCGCCGGTCTCCCCAGCTCCACTATTCAAAAAATCCAGCTCATTCAGAACTCTGTTGCACACATACTGACCCAGACCAAACTCCGTACCAACATCTCACCAGTTCTGGCCGGGCTCCACTGGCTCCCCATCACCAAATGGATCGACTTCAAGATCCTCACACTCGTATTCAAATCCCTTCACTTTCTGGCACCTCCCTACCTCTCCAACCTCCTCATTCCCCAACCACCTCACTCCCCAATCCACCACCCGGTGCCTCCTGCTCGTCCCTCACAGAACTCTGGAACACTCTCCCTCAATCCCTCTGCCTTGCCCCCTCTTTCCCCTTTTACAAGTCCCACCTGAAAACCTTCCTTTTCGACAGTGCTTATAGCCATCTCCCCCCGGCTCGGAGTCAGGCTCCACCACTGTTAAGCGCTCTGAGACCTACCCTGCATGGAGGACACTATATAAGTGCAAGTTGTTGTTTGTGGGATGTTGCTGATACCTAACAGTTTTTAGACTTCAAAGTAGTCTTCTATGTTCAGCACTTTGTCATGTCAATATGAGGAAACATCAAATGCAATTGTTAGTTGTTTAATCTTATAAAAGACAGATATGTTATTTACCATTGAATATCTTCAACTGAATCCTGTCTTTTATGGAAAAGTTGTTTGATGGTGGTTGAGAATGACTATGCCTATTCCTCTCTAATTTGATTTGTGCAATGACAATTTACCCTTATATAGTACCATGCACAGAGTGAACCAGAGACTTAGGGTCACAGATCCTGACACGGAGGAGAACAAGTTTTTTAAATATATTTTTTAAGTTAGGGAGCGAAGGACCAAGATGAAGGAATTTTGAAAGGGAGATTCCTATAACAGAGATACAATGGCTGAAACCTTGGCCCTCAATGGTGGAAGGAGATAATGTAGCCTGATGAATCAGTTGAGTTTAGATTCCCAGGCTTCATTCGTAGGCGTACAGTGCTTGTGCATAATTTGACTGGTCAGACAAAATTTCATACTTAACTTTAAAACATCCATTGCTTTGAAACATCTGCCTGATGTGAAAGGCTCTATATCAAATATAAGCATAATTATTTTATGATAAACCATTTAGTTTTTTTTAGGAGGGAGAAATATATTTTATCTAATTTAATGTTCTTTTCAATACTATGCCATAACTTCTTTGGGTGAATATAGTTTCTCCTTCTTTTTCCCTCTATCCACTTTACTCCCCACCCCTACCTAAACTTCAATTTTCTAGAAATAATGTCAATTTCTTTGGGGCAATACAGCTTTAATGTTGACGTTTGACATTTACTGTTATGGACTAATTTGCTGTACACTAGAGTTGAGGAATACGTGTTGACTGAATGGGAAATGTATGAACAGCTACCAAGACTAACAGTTGTTCCAGCTGTCTGGCCAAAATCTGTGGCTTTGTGAAGCTCCTCATTTTTGATGAGCTAACTGGCCATGTGACCAACGTCCCTTAAAGCTTTCTTGAGAAAGGATTAAATGTGTTTAAAGTCTTTTGCTGCCTCCGGGACTTAATTCTTAAAATCTCCAGCAGCATAATTAGTAATGCCTCCTTTTGACAGTTCCGCTACTCTTCTGAGGAGTGGGTATAATCCTGGTGGTATGAGGTTAGCAGAGTGTCATTTAATAATCCCAGCAGAATGGAATGCTTGTAACTTTGGACCACCCGGCTTCCCTGCAAAATCCTTTTATGCTCAGAATCCTGTAAGTTTTTAGGCTGAACTGTTTTCTGGATACAACCTGCATGCTTAAGTAGATAGGAAGCACAAAATAAGGTTAAGAAACCTGCTGTGGGTAGAGCACAAACACCAGAGCTAAAATGCAGAAGGTCCTTCAACCCATCTTATCTCAACCTTCCCAAATACTCACCCTTCCCATCACAACATTGAGCTGTTTTTTTAAATGGTGGGCAAGTGCTTTACAAAATGGGAGGGGGAGGTGAGTTAATGGGAAAAATTGGAGGCCAGTGGAGTCCTCCACAGCAGGGTTTCTCAAACAATGGAGCATGACCCTAAATTGGGTCACCTGAATGTGCCAAAGGGTCGCGAACAGATTTAGAAAATTATGCACCTCGCGATTTTTAAAAAATAAATAAATCTCGCTGGTGCTGCACAGCGCGTTAACTGTGTACATAAGCTTCTACTACAAGAACCCCAGGTTCTAAATTCTTGAGATTCCACAACAAGCAGGGATTGTAGGCCAGCCGCAACTTGTCTTGGCCGGACAATAATTACAAAAGCTAATCATTGAATTAATATGAATAGCGTAGGGGCTGTTGTGCAACGTTGAGAATTTAGAACCTGCTATTCTTGTGGAAGAAGCTCTGTAACAAAAGATATTTGGACAGCAGCAGGTGGCAATGATCAGCGATCGATCAATCAATCTATCATTTTACTGTAATCTTGCACTGAGAGTTTGGAGTGTATTTTAGTCAGAGAGGCAAGTCTTGTAGTCAGTGAAATGGAAACATTTTAAAACTGTCCATTTGTAATTAGCAGTTATGATTGGAATTCTTTTACACCAAACTTTGATAAACTAAACAAAGAGGAGCAAACTCCGGTTTCTCATTAAGAGGAACCTAGGATTTGTACAACAAATACTTAAGTGCTTTATTTTAATATTCACTGAATTTAGTATTTATTACATTATGTTTATTAAGTTAATGTGTATATTGCATATATCGGTATATTTAATAAGCCAGATGTTTTTTGCACGAAAGCTATTTACTTGGCCATCAAAGTTTACAACTGGGTCCTGAGCCCCAAAAAGTTGAGAACCACTGCTCTACAGGATCTCCGAGTGAGGAGTACAATATGGCCTTACAGCAGGTTGTTTATCCGCCCTCTTGTGGACAGTTGGTGTGTGACCAAGAAAGAAAAACGAAGGAGGAAAATGGAAAGAGATTTCCCTCAAAATCTAAAAAAGGTTGCATTGTTTCAAGAGATGTCAAGGTAGCAATTGTTTTCACAGCATATTTTTGATGCATTTGTTCCAATATAGAATACATGTTTAAATCTGATCAGAGAGTGGAAAGTTGGATAATTGATTTCCTGTCATTATTAATGTAACTGTAGATATTTGTCATAGTTTCATTTTGAACTAGCGTCTGGTATTGAACATTCGAACAAACCTGAAATAAGTGATTTATTCATAAGGATATATTCCCCCTGTACAAGTATAACAAAGAATTTTTGTGCCTCTTTTATGCTGCACATTTACCTGTTTAATGCAGTTTTCACATAATAGTATAACTCTGGTTTTAAAGTCACAAAGACATTAGACTTTCAGTTTTGTGAGACTTTGACTCACACTCGATATGTTATCATAGCCCAAATCTAGTGAGGCTGTGATGCATTCAGAAGCTTCCATGGTAACACAGGTAAAGAGAATTTTTAGAACCTCATGCAATCGGTTTCAGTATAAATTGAGTTTCATCGCAGTCGACTTGCAAATAAATCCTTAAAGCTGGAAAGATTGTATTTAAACATTTTGAGGCAGTTGTGTTGGATCACCTTTAACATTTGTTTAATCTTATGAAATTGCCATCTGCCTTCCTGGCTTTTAATATTACTAATAACTTAGTGTTTTATCGTGTTGTTTTAAACATCTCAAAGCGCTTCACAAGATTAAATTGTAAAATGACATGACTGTGTATTTTGTGTATTAAGAGTAAGCTAAATTGTAATATTAAACAATGTAACTAGAATTGTGTTATGCCAATTGCTGGTGAAGCAGTTTTTATAGGTTGATTCACTTCTGGTTACTCGCAGAGTCACTATTTAATGAATTCGTTAGTAACTAATGCGTTTTGAGCTCCATTGTCTTTAAATACATTGCTGACATCTAAAGCTTTTCAGCAGAAAATGATACTCTCTGCCAAGTCTAACCACATTGTATCTCTGATTGTTTCCTTTTTGTTTCTTTACAGCTTCCTTGTTGAAAGGCCTAAAACACACCAACATTGTGCTGCTCCATGACATCATTCACACCAAGGAAACCTTGACACTTGTCTTTGAATATGTGGTAAGTGTGTGCCTTCTCCATTACCAGCAGCTGGGCACTGATGGAATAATTTCGATTAAAATTGCCGTATAATTGCGTTTATGTAATTTCCAACCCCCCCCCCCCCTCCCCCTCCACCAAACTGTAATCAGTCTTTGTCATGGTCTAAGTCTGTCTGCACACATCATTGTCTGGCAGACACGTACTCCCATTGGGCCGACAAGTCTGGCAATGTTTGAATATTATTGACTACTGCTGGCTGGAGGAATGTGTCAGTCAACACAAACTGTTCTCCGTCCACTGAATGAGTCCCTATAGATGTCTTGTGTTTCATTTATATCTCTGTTTGCAATCAATTTTGTAACACAAGTTATTTTCCCCTGCAATGTTCGCACACATACCATAAAAACTGCTCCAACCAATTTTAATTTCTGGATCAAACCTCCACGCTGCACTTGGCTGCTTTTACTGAAGAGCTGATGCCCATACACTCCCCAAAGAGAACAGTTTTGTGCACATCGAATTGCCTGGAACTAATTTATCAGAAACCAGAACTTTCTGCAAATGGGGGAAGGATATGGTCATTGAAACTAATTCATCATATCAAAAGTCATTCCGAAAACTATTAGAATATTTTGTCTGATCCAATGGAATCCAAGTCCTGACTCAGGTCATTTAGCAACAGTGTCTTTGTCCAGTACAATTTCACTATTTACATTTTGGAAGGCTTATCTGAAGCATTCTTACCAAATTGAACCACTGATCTCAAATTTTGTGTACGGGTGGCTAGAGTTGCAACTGGCAGCACTGTCGGGTGAATGTTTGGTAGATGGGAAAAATGATGCTCAAAGTTCAGTTCACTGCAGTTTTTTGTGGACATTTTAGATTGATATGTTCACTGTATAGAGTCAGGTTATATTATTTCTCAGGGTAAAATATTGTTTATTCTTTGGATCAGTGCTCTGACATGTAGTGAATAACACAGTAATACATAATTAATATCAAAAATTGCCTGACCCTTTTCCTTCATGATGTGTTTGTGACACATGTGAAATTGGTTTATTTCGCTTTTGATGCCTTTTCACTCCGTTTTTTAAGTAATGGATTGTCTTGGAACCTGAAATGAAATGTACCACAGCTTTGTTGCCTTTTACTGACTCTTATAAGTTAACCCAGTATTTTCCTGTGAAGAAAGTTGGGATCTATTCCCAACTTGCATTTTTCTGTCTGTTATTGCCTGATTATTATTATTATTATTATTCACAAGCATGTCTATGCATAATCTTGTAGCTTGGTGCTGTCATGTACTATGAGGGAAGGCAATGCAACAATGTTCTATATATTGTCTGAATAACTGATTCTGTTTTTAATATTTTATAAAGGAGAACAGATTGTATGAATTGCTTTACAAAAAATAAAGCAGTCAATCTGACATTATTGTAAATAAAACAGTAGGAAAAATGGAAAAGGGTGATAGAGCTCAAGTATTGTCACAGATTTCTATAAACCTTCATTGCTTTTTTAAAATAAAAAAAGCATTTAGAGCCATTTTTAAAATCCTTTGCATTGCTACATTAGCATTTACGTTCGTCATCAATCTGCCTGGATTAATATTAAGTGAAAATCAAATACGCATTTTCCAAAATGGATAAATAGAGCAAATAAAATTGAAATAAATAATAAAATCAAATCTTAAAAGTGCACAGGTAAAAGGGAAGGAAAGGAATTTTAGGAGATACAAAGACAAATTGTCTTAGTTGGTAACACTCTTGCCTCTGAGTCAGAAGCTTGTGGGTTCAAGCCCCATGTTGGGACTTTGAACTCATAGCCTAGGGTTGTATTGCATTGTTGGAGGTGCCATCCTTCAAAACAGATGTTAAACTGAGATCCCATCTGCTTGTTCAGTCAGATATTAAAATCTCATGCCACTATTGAAAAGAGAAGGGAGTTTCTCCCAGTGTCCTGGCCAGCGAAACCCAGAAAACAAATTAGTCATTCACCTCATGACTGTTTGTGGAACATTGCTGTTCACAAATTAGCTGCCGGGTTTGGCTTCAAAAACACAGTCACTACATGTCGCAATATAACCTGTGAAGAACTTTGAGATGTGCAACTATATCAAATGCAAAACTTGGTATTTTTATTATTATCATACTAATTTATCACCTCAACAAGTTTTTGATGAAATAAATTTTTAACTAAACTTGAAAAATAGTTTAGTTTCAATTTATTGAAATGGCGTTACTGCTTCCAGATGGGCTGGGTCTGGGCATGTGTTCAATTAGCCCATCAATGAAATGGTACTTTTTTTTAAAAAAAAGCTGGATTATATTTTGATCAAAATCCTAAATTGCGTTCTTCCAATTCCAATATTTTTCCCAATTATATTGAGTATTTTTTAAAAAAGCATACTTTGGATCATTTTTGTCTATTTATTTGTCCCCAGAGGAGGCTTGTTTTAATCTTTACATTTGATGTAGCACTTTTCACATCGAGAGGACATCTCAAAGCGCTTCACAGAACATACTGCAAAATTGAATGACTGTGTATTTTGGAGGCATGGCAGCCAATTTGCGCACAGCATTGTTTCATAAATAGCCATGGAGTGAATGACCAATTTTATTGGGGGATTGTTGGCTAGGACACCAGGAAAATCCCCTCTTTTCGAATAGTGCCATTGGATCTTTAGAATCCAACTAAACAAGCAGACGGGGACTCAGTTTAACATCTCATTGAAGGACAGCACCAGTTACAATGCAGCACCAAGGGCTAAGTGAGGTTTGAAACCACAACCTTCTGACATACATCAACAACGACAACTTGCATTTATATAGCGCCTTTCACCCTAGATTCACTCTGTTTATGTGGCACTTCAGGGTATCCAGAATTTGCAAATTGTTAAATATAGTGTTCAATTTGAAGTTGTTTTTCAGTAAGTTCTGTTAACAACTATAGAAAAAACACCTTCAAAATTTAGACTGAATTCAACAATTCGCTAAATTTTGGATGCTCTTAAGTGTTACATGCTGCTTTTCAGCATTCATTTTAAAAAATTAAATTGAAATTAAAATTGAAACTAAATTTAAGAATTTTCCATAATTTTGCTCCATTGTAAATTTTAAAATGAGAGCCTCAAGAGGAGCTATGATCATTGGATCAGATCATTGGAAATAACTTCCCAAGAAACAAATTCAGAGCAATAACACTGTCTCAGTCATTCCAAAACACTATCAGGCAGATAAACCTTTCCTTTTTGTACTTAACATCCTCCACAAACCACAGCACACAGAAAAAATAGTACAATAAGAAGGAGGAATAGGAGAGCCCTTGCACAGGGGATCTAACAGCAGTTTAGATGATCGTGCATACGAACAGGTTGCACACTCCAAAGAAGTCTAAGCAATAATGCTTTGTGTATGCATATGGGTTACACCACGTGGCAGCTTTGGAGGCGCTCTGAATTGAGTTATGTCTGCCCATGAAATGGTAATTGATCTTGTAGCATGACCTCTGATAGACTCCTACCAGGGAACTAAGCTCCCTGACTCTCAAGCACGTGTACTACCATTCCTTCTGAATGCGCAAAGCCACATAGTCAACAATGGCAACAAAATTACAGTTGTACAGCGCCTTTCATGTCGGGAGGATGTCCCAAAGCTCTGGACAATCAGTGTTTGGGGTCTGAGCTGGGGGTCGGTATCGGAGAGGGTGGAGGGCAGCGGGGGAAGGAAGGTGATCAAAGGCATGGTTGAAGAAAGGTCTTGAGACAGGTCTTGAAGGAGGCAAGGGAGGGAAAGAGGCAGAGGGTCTGCGGGATAGAGTTCCAGATGGTGGGGGCAGAGTGACAGAAGGCCCGCCCGCCAATGGTGGGGCAAGCAAGATGGGGGATGTGAAGCAGGCCGAAGCCCCCTGAGCGAAGGGAGCAGGCAGGTTGGAAGGGGGTTAGGAGGCCACAGAGGTAGAGCGGAGCAAGGCCACAGAGGCCTTTGAAGGTGAGAACCAGGATCTTGAACTGTAAGACAAACTCTCCCTGGAAAGTGTACCATTCAAGAGAATTGCATCTCTAATACCCTTCAGGGAAGAACTCCCCAAACCCATATCCATCATTACCGATAAGATTCATCGTGCACCACTTTCAAAATGTCACCTGAGCAATTTTAGTTCAAGGTTTAAAAACTGGTGAAGGGGAACAAGCTTAATGAGAGCCTTCCAGCACAGTTGAGAGTTCTTCTCAGGCAGACAGCGTAATGAGACAGCTTCCCACAGCTCAGTGTGTATGCTGTGCGGGGTGCAGTGCTTGTCCTCACACTGTCAGAATTCCAAGAGAAAACCTTGCTTGAACTTGCACAATTGATTGTTGTTACCCACTGACTGACTCCAGTCTCTCAAGCTCCTGCTGAAAGCTGACAGGTTTTTTTTTTGAACATCATACAGTGTTTCTTCTCTGACAGACTGTAGGTTTCCAGCCTACGTACCCTCTCTTTCCTTCCCTCCTACTTGCTCCGCACCTCATGAGCGATGGTTTGGCTGAAGCACTCGACATTTTGAATTAAGAAACAAAAATATTTGGTAATTTTAAAGAAATTTCAGGTTTTAATCATTTCTTTGTTGATCGGTGTCCGATGGTGGGAGTTGTATTTTCCTTTGGGGATTTTATTTATATCAATGCTTTTTTTTGGCTTGCATTTGTGAACTTGTCATGCTGAGGGATTGTCAGTGCTGAGGGAATGGCAGACATTGTGATATTGGATCCACTGTCAGCATCAAGCAGTCCCAGGTCAAGGTTACCACAGTCTAAATGCAGAGCTTTCCAACCCCATTCTTATCAAGTAATGGGAAGAGTATTCCATTAGCAACAGAGACTTCTGACAATGATCCAGATAAAAATAACAATATGCTCAATTTCAGAAGGCGTTGTTACATCCCCTCGCCACATCACCACTGCAATATTGCCATTTTCCACACCAGTCATTGTTGTGAGCTTACTGAGTGCCAATTCTAAATAGAGAATCTCCCAACTC